TAATAATGAAATCCATCCATCCTTATATCCTCATTGCTTCCAGTCCTGCCATCCCGTCCATCCCATCTTGGCGGGAGGTCTGGGATGGCGCTGCCATCCCTTTATGCACTGCCATCCCGGATGGCCAGCCTTGGCGGGATGGCACATCACGTGACTCCGAGCCCCGCAATGTCCATTACCTTTTGACGTGGACGTCCCTAGGCTCGCAGCCATCTCGTCATTTGTCAAGGAAAGAATCCTTCTTGTTACTTGTAACATTACCTCCCTTCTTAGGGCTATCGTCCCGATACCCTGGAATATCGTTTCGCCGTGCCGCGTGTTGAATCGCTGGCTGCATATAAGGTCGGTAGGCCCCGGGCCATTGTAACCGTTCCTTCCTGACTCCAGCCTTCCTAACCATGCCCAAGGTCCCGTCTTCCCGCACCCGTGTTCGCGCTCAAAAGTCGAACGAAGAGCGTTATTCCCGTGCTGATCGTGTAATAGAGCAAGGGAACGAGATGACTTCTTATCGCTGTTCTCGTTGTGAAGAGAAGAACCTTCGTTGTTTCGTGGACACTGCAACTGGCCGTTGCGCTGGTTGTATTTCTGTAAAAGCTGAGTGTAGCTTATTTATTTCCGAGGAAGAGTGGGAGAAAATTCAGCAAGAGCGTGAGCAAAAGGAGCTTGAGGTTGCTCGAGCTGAGGAGGACGCCGCGCGTCTTCGTCGTGAACTTCTGGAGGTGAAATCTCGCGAGCGCTTGCTCGCTCGTCGCGATCTCGCCGTTCTTGCGTTCCAAGATCGTGCAAAAGAAAAGGCCGAGGGGAGCTCAGCCCCTGGTACGGATCCTCTGTCAACCGGACCATCGCTATCCGGACCCTCGACTGACCCGGGCTGGTTACAGGCTGATTATTCTTCTTCTCATGATCCCTTGTCCCTTGACTTCTTCCTTTCTTACGAGAATCCCATTCTCGCTTCCGTGGATGTTTCCGATGGTACTCACGTACCAGTGACTTGCAGTTCGTCAGGTTTCCTTCAGGTTCCCAAGTGTTATGGCTCTCGGGCCATCCTTGCCACTTGACCAAGTACTTCCGCTGACTACCGATTTTCCGCAGGTCCTTGATTTCTTCGACCTCGTACTCGTCGTCTTCGAGCTCTATGTCCGTTGCTAGCTCGGCATCTGGAGGTGCTGGTTCCAGGAGTTTCTTGTGAAAGACAGGGTGGATTCGCATGCCTTGTAGGAGTTTCAACTTGTAGTTTACTTTTCCTATTTCCTCTAGGATTTCGAATGGTCCTATTCGGAGGTTGTCCAGTTTTCTGCATGGTCGTTTAGTTTTCAGGTTTTGTCTTAACAAGAAAACTTTGTCCCCCTTCTTAAAGATTGGTCCCTCAATCCTTAGTTTATTCGCTGCTTTAGATGTCGTGAGGTTTCGTTGAGCTATGTTCTTGCTTAATTCTTCGTGCAATTCTCGCATGAGCTTCGCCTTGTCGTCTGCTCCTACCGCGATACTTTCGATGTCCTTCGGATCTCGGTGAGCGGTCGGCTCATATCCGTAGTTCGCGTAGTGCGGCGAATGCTTTGTCGTTGCTGATTTTGTACTGTTGTAGGCCAATTGCGCTGTCGGTAGTAACTCTACCCAGTTGTCCTGCAATTTGTTGGCGTACATCCGTAAGTACTGCTCTAATGTCTGGTTCGTTCTTTCCGTCTGGCCGTCTGTTTCTGGATGAAAGCTTGTCGAAAGCTTCTTCTTAACACCTAACTTCGCCAGGAATGTACTCCAGTATTTAGACGTAAATAGTTTATCACGATCGGTGATGAACTCTTCAGGTATCCCATGCTCTGACACTAGTGCCTTAGTGACTTCGTACGCGCATTCATCTGCCGTAATAGTCTCTTCCGTGGGCACAAACTTTGCTGCCTTAGTCAATCGGTCCACGATTACTAGTATTGTGTCGCAAAATCGAGCTGATCCTGGTTCCAACGATTTCGGGAGCTTCACTATGAAGTCCATCGTTACACTTGTCCATGGTCTAGATGGTGGCTGTAAGGGTTGTAACAGGCCGTAGGGCTTATGTCTC